AGAAGAAGAAGAAGAAGACGATGATGATGACAAGAAAGGGAGATGAGAATGGTACTCATCAGGGAAATTAAGGATTGCAAGAGCACCCCTTAATTCTATGGCTGCTCGATCATATGCTCTTGCTGCTGCTTCTGCTGTGTCAAATGTCCCCAACCATTGTCTTCCCGTAGGTTTTGTTGGGTCTCTGATCTCTGCTCCAAATTTACCCCATGGCCTCCTTCTCACACCACGGTACCTCCCTTCTTCCCCTCCTTTCTCCTTCTTCTCCTTCTCTTTCTCCCCTTCACGTGGATCCTCCATGTTGTTATTACCTCTTCTTCTTCGGCTTTTCCCAGGTAACAGAAACAATCTTAATCCAGACACAATTGGATATTCGCTATGAATTCCTCTTTTAACGGAAACTCAAACGTTGTTCAGTATGCTGTGAGACCAGTCTTTTTGCTGGAACTTATACGTCACAATCTGTTTGCTTATCAAAACCTTGTTTTCTTCTATTACGACTTTTGTATCTGTAGGGTCAGTTATGCCTATGCCATATGCATTGACGCATCCATATATAGCCAGCGTCCTGAATAGTATTCTGTCACGTTCTTAGAATCTTTCGCGATGAAGTGTAAAAGTTCGATTCATCGACTTATACCGAGGGAAGAACAACAATATTATGAAAACTACCTTTTTTTAGTAAATAACTGAACGACAACTTGTTTCAATAATAAAATATAAATATAAATTAAGCTACTTAATAAAAAGAATTGTAAGATAATTGTATAAAATTACACTGTTGTAAGCTTATTATTACTTCTGAAAAGAAAACATTAAGACAAGTTGACCGAAACAAGACCATTTGAACAGGGTAAAGACGATTATGTTATATATGCTGTACATGGACCGTGACTTTAACGTGAAAAGTTCAGTGCACTTTTTCTATTAGGCTTATGTGGGGTGACAATTTTTAGCTTAATGCGCGTCATGAATTGATTATTAAATTAATTAACTGTGACCTAATTCAAATTTGCTAAGAACAATGAACATGCATGTTAATACATGGTTGGGTTTTTACTGAATTGACTTATATTGCAATAATTAGATTCCTTTTATTATTTGTTTCTCGAGTAAAACATTCTTTTCATTCTACATTAATCTTCTTTTGGTTAGAATAAGACGCCTTTAATTTTTCCTTTTTGGTAGATGAATCAATGGGCAAAACCCTGTTTGGTGCTAGTATTGAAGGTGTCACTTTCTTGCTAATGTTGAGATATGTGCTATTCATCTAGTATCTTTCTGGTTAGGTAGAGAAGTAATAACTTAACAAGCATTAATACAACCTCCTCCAATGAAAATCAAACCTCATCCTTTTATAGCAACATATGATGATGATGGTGACAACTAGTTTTATTTAAATTTATTCACTTATAATATTATTATCACAGAATGCTATCTTTGTGAGTTTAACGAAAGAAGAAAAAAAACATAAATGAAGGAAAAGTGATTAGTACTTAGGCAAAAAGATATGCAAATTTACACCATTAGATAACCAAATAAAAATTTATTTTAAAGTACATAATTTAAAAATATATATATATTTAAAATTATGGTATTATGAATATAAATAAACAAATTTTATATTCAACATTCCAAAATATAAACTAAAAAATTTATTCGGATCGTACTTCTTAAAATACCAAATTTACATTCTTAATTATAAAATTTGGAAAATAAAAGAATTTAGGGAGGTGTATGCTGAATTTAAGGAGGTGTAGAAAGAAAACATTTCCTAGCTCAAAGGGGAGAAGAAGCCCAAGTTATGAGAGGGCTTTGATGACCTTTGTTATAAGTCTCTTTCAAAACTTTTCAAAATCAGGTCAACTTTGCAGAGTTTCACAACAACACTCAGAAATCGAAAGGGTAATGTCTCTTTGATATACAAACCCACTTATCAAGAATATTAATGATATCCTTTCACTAACTCAACCAAGATAAATAATTATATTTAAAGATGTTTAAATATAGAAAAGTTCAATTCATCATTAATTCTACGTAGTATTAGTCGGTTATGGGAAGAAAACCAAATATCTGGGAGAGCATAAAGTAAATTATTGCAACTTGAACTTAGTTATCCATGTAACATTAATAAATAATTAAGGAACAGATTTGGAGAACTTTATCCTCATTACATCAAATCAAAAGATGTGAGGACGTGCTAATCTAAACTTTTATTTATTTGTTATAGTATTTTTTTAGTGCTTGATTTTACTTTTATAAAATTATTTTTTAGTGACTTACAAACTTGTTTAGTATTATCGTAATACATTTAATAGACAAGTGGGCTTATACAGTTGGCCGAAATAGATCTATTAATAATTATTTTTTTATATATCTTTATAATATACTTTATACAATTACGTGTGTGTGTATATATATATAAAAGATAACATAAGATCATATACTTATTTAAAATCCCTAGTTTCTATAATAAGAATCTTAAACAAAACATAAATTCAACTTTTAGCTATTTTATATAGAAACTTCAAATTTTGTATGCAAGTCCAAGCGTTTAATAACTAGAAAAGAAAATTTTAATGATTTTAATTTATTATTAAAAAAAATGAATAGTAAAAAAAACAATACTATTTATATTACATATAAATAGGTTTTTATATTACCTGGAAGAAAAATTTTGAACAGCAAATGTCTAACTTTTTAATCAACTAAATTTGCATAAAAGTTTAGATTTCATCCACTTTTGAAATGAATACATATTATTGTGATTTTTATCTGCATATACTGTCGAATATTAATAATCTAAATAAAAATAAAACAACGTATCCCTGATAAACGGTAGCTAACCAACTACAACTGTAGTGTCTCAATAACTGCCATTAAAATAAAAATTAAAACGAATAAATTAAAAGAAAAAGAGCAAACGCAACCTGATTAAGAAGGCATCAACCTCAACACAGCCAACCATTTTCTCAGGTTACAGCATCGCTTCTTCATCTGGCAAAATCTCCCGTTTGAAGATAAATTTAAAAGAAAATAATTTCAGTGTCTGCGAAATCATAAACAAAATTGACTGACAGAATTCATGGCGATGGCTTTGATGAAATTTTCGAAGAGAACGATGATGTTGAACCTCAGTATAATGCAGAACATACAATGTTTCAGAGCAATAATGAAGAAAATATTATAGTAACCACAGATCTAATCCCAAACTAATCACGAAACTCAAGTTCACTTATAATAATCCTAATGGTTGAAGATCTCATTTTAAAAGATGGTTTTGTGAGAATAAATTAGAGATAAATCCACCTAATAAGAAAAATGCTTACTGAAACAGAGTGGCATCTACGAGCCAAATGCTACTACATTAACAAATAGAAGCAACAACTTTCCCATATGCTATTATTTCAAGATTTTGTTGCATTAACTGCAAGATTTTTGAAGCTTACAGTGTACAATTGAATCAATGCTGAACCCAATAACACAGGTTCAGTTGAGATATGAATAAAAATGCAGTTGAGTTTTTAATCTTTGTTATTCCTTCTCTTCTCTTCAATCTCAAGAAGATCCTCCAAGACCTTGTCATCCAGATACTCGAACTCAATAACTTCCTTTCGGGCAAAAGAACTTCCACTGTCAACAGTAGAAGAATTTGACGACAATAGAAAAGGAAGATGAGAGTAATACTCATCGGGGAAATTAAGGATGGCAAGAGCACCCCTCAAACCAATGGCTGCACGATCATAAGCTCTTGCTGCTTCTTCTGCAGTGTCAAACGTTCCCAACCATTGTCTTCCCGTAGGTTTTGTCGGATCTCTGATCTCTGCTCCAAACTTACCCCACGGTCTCTTTCTCACACCACGGTACTTCACTTCTTCCTCTTTTGATCTCTCTTTCTCCATATCTTTTGCTTAAACAACTTCCTTCTTTCTTCAGTATTTTTATTCTTTCTTTCAACTCCTTATATATATATGCATATAAAAGCAGCCTTTGTTGTAACTATTAGTTTTTGTTTCTTGTTATTGACTTGATTCGAGCTTTCTTGTGCAAGTGTAAAAGTTGGACTCTTCTTTGACTTGGTTTATAATATTTTGGAAAGAACTGGTACTACGATGAGTATATTTGGACAGGTTCCATGATGTTCAAAGATCGTCACTTTTGCATCCATGGCCTTTTTTTCTAGTAGCTCATGGCTGAGGTGGCTACTGGGTCGCAATTATTATGAATTATTTTAACTACAGTAACCCTACGATGTTGACACATCTTAAGAGGTTTGAACCAAAACACAAGATAACATTTTCTATTTACCGATTTCAATAAGCAGAATAAAGTTAAAAACAGCAAAAATTGAATAAGGATCCCATATCCAATAATACAGTGTTGAATAAATGTGAAGTATGTATTATGACCACTTTACGTAAGTCATACATATTCATTTTATTTTAATTTCTTGCTTTTTTAATTTAAAAGATAAAGCTGGAGTAATTATTTTCGTTTTATTTGTACCATCAGAAAATATTTCTATATTTAAATAATAGATTTTTTTAATACAGTTCACTTCATTCTGTTGTCGTATCTTTTTTTATTACATTAACTGATTGACTGCAATTAAGAATACCGTAACCAAACTGATTCAAAATTGCTGTAGATCAATTTTTTAATAGTTATATTGTACATCATGTTAGACTTGTTGCGTTAATATGTCATTTGTCATTAATGTTATTCAAATGGATCCGGTGTAGATAATCTGACCTGAATTGATCAACGATTCAATTTGATTTTTTTTTTTTGAGAAAAAAAACTCGTAATCCTTTAAAATATAAATTATTACACGTAAATGATTTAGATTAAGTTTAACAAATTTAGTTTATCTTGTTTACGGTATTTATTTATATCAAAATTAGTTTACTTTCATTCCATTTAATGCATGCATCATTTAAATATTTCAACTATCTAATGAGACTCATTTGTATTCCTTGTTAGATTACTTTCATAACTTGTTAATTATGGGATAATAATGTAGGTTAGTTTTTTCTGAGTTTAAGCTGCTCCATATTTGATCTACAGAAAATTTGATGGGATTTGTCCGCCTCACATGAATTGCAGGTTAGTATTAGCTTGTCATGCATAGTGATTGGTCCGTGAGTTTCCAGTCATCCATATAAAAATAACTTTATATAAATATTAGGTTTAATCATTTTCAAATTTTCTAATTTTATTGAGAAGTCTCAAAGTTCTTAGTTTTTTTTTCCTCAATTGAATCTTTATTTTCAAAAAATTAATGACAAAAACATAATAACTTTAATTTTTCAAAAATAAGGACCTAATTAAGAAGAAAAATAACTGAAAACTTGACACTTCTTTTAACAAAATTAGAAACTTCGAAAATAATTAAACCTAAATATTATAATAATAATATAATATTTTAATTTTAATGTTTTATATTATTGTTATGTTCCAAAAATCTATCATTGAAAATAAAATTAAAATATACTAAATAAGCATAATATTAAGATTAAAAAAAATAAATATGTGAAAGTTAAATCTTTTATGAAAAGAAAATATAAAATAAATTATTGTTTAAGTTACTAAAAAATTATAACAATTAATCAATGTTAAATATAGATAAAAGAATTGACTTAGGGATTTAGGTGAGTGTTGAAAAACAAAATAAATAAAAGAGTTTTACGTAAGTTATAAATTAAAATATGTTAACAAATACTTTTGCAGATTATATAGGTAAGTCTATTCAGTCGTGTGGACGGTGGATTATGTGATATAAGTCTATTTGGATCAGTAAACTAAATTATTCAATCTGTTTTGTATATAAATTTTTTTTTTAAAAAAATCCTATTTTTAGATTTCTGTGTTAACAAGGTAATGTGGTTATTATCTTTACCGTAACCTTATTTATTTTTTGCCACATAATTCTATAGTTTAACAATTCTATAAGTGGAAGGGTGGTGGCCCATAATTCATAGGTTTCTGTTTCAAATCTGACTCTGATATTATGTTAAGAAATGGATTTTAAACCTAATTAAAGTCTATATCGGATTGTAAGGTAAAGTTTACACTCACTTATATTATAAGTTGACCTTATCTCTAGTTGATGTAAAATTTCCAATAATATAATTATATTTATGTTGTTCCAAGCTTGCAAGGTTTGAAATGATTCTACAAATGTACATTGTTTTTGCCTCACCCAAAAAACTGTTGTCACAATAATTGCACATATAGCTTATAAATACAACCTCAAGGAGCTCACAAAATTAAATCCAACTAATTAAACACTAGTTTTTTATCTCACCCAAATATAAATAAGCAAAACTAGCATAATGGTAGATGATTAAACTGTAAAACAAAATGAACTAGGAAAAACATGAAAGGATTTAAGTAGAAACAGTGGTACAAAATGGTAGTTGAAGAAACAAGCTGGGGTAAGTGAGAAAACAAAAATAAAATTCGTTATAAGTAAGTAAAATGAAGAAGAAAAATTCATGGTTAGAACTGAATGGATAGCACCTGTTTGTGGGAAACGATGGTGCGAACTATAGCAAACTATTTATAGTAGTAAGAGTGTGGTGTGGTGTGCCAGAAAATTTGGATGGAGAGCAACCAGAGAAAAAAAATATGGATAATCTAAAGAAATAAAATTAGAAATAGAGATTATGTTAGGATCTATGGCCAAGGTAGTTAAAACATGGAAAGCCTAATTAAGAGTATAAGATAATCTAAAGAAAATTCGGGATAAAATTATAATTTTAAACAAATAATGAATATCTATGGCCAAGGTAGTTAAAATAGAGATTATGTTAGGATCATAAGAGGTTTATAAAATAGTAAATCATGAATCGTAATACGAATAGTAGATTTTACTTTCTATAATAAAAATGGCACATTTTTAAAATAAAATTAATTCTTCTATCAATACTTCATTAAACTTAAGTTTACAAAATTAATTACTTTGTGAACTTTTTTTCGTGAATCCTTTACTATCCTAACCATAAGAGTTGTAAGGGTGTAACTGAAAGTAGTATTTTATTTTAACTGAGTTTTATTTTAATTGATTGAAATTCCCTTGAATGGTGTAACAAAAAACATCCTTTATTTTTAATTGGATTTGAATTTTATTTTAATTGAAATTGATTGAATTTTAGTTTAATTGAAATTCATTCAAGAAGGTAGTGTTGGGTGATGGTGCAACTAACAATACCAATAGCGTAAATTTTTAATTGTATTAGTTTTAATCAGGTTAAATGCAAAAAATAATAGTGAATGGTGAAGAGAAAAAATTATTTACATTATTTTACCATTTTATTCGAAAAATTTACTGATATCACTGTGGTAGGATTATGCAGGACATCTAATTTGTAAATACTATGTCAAATATTAGGATCTTATGATTTTACAATATAAATATCGATTTTAACTACAACGTTAGGTATTATTTAATGTATTCACTTGTTACTCGTAACAAATCTTTTTTATATAAATATTCATAGATATGAATAATTTTGTTATCTCTAAGTTTGAAAAGTTTTGAATTTGTTTGAAAATAAATTTAATAAAATTAAAAAAATTCTTCTAAATCTATATCTTCTTACCGTATATAAAAATAAAATGTAACGATATTGTTGAACCAATTAGTAATCTTATCTTGTTAATGCTGAATGGTTATCATACTAGTGGTCTGTTTCTGGAGATTATATACTAGATCTTTTTCACTCTTACTAATTTGTATATCATTTTTGTAATCATATAATTAATGCTCATTTTCTTGCACTGGATATAGTAATATGATTGTATATTGTATTGAATGTCCATTTTAAAATGAACTCAAAGTTGGTGCATCTAAATCTTTCCACTAATACTAGCCAATCATATAAAGTCTAGTAACTAGTAACTATGAAAAATAGCAAAAGAAGTGTAAAGAAGCTGCCAACCTCAATTTTTTATCAGGTTAAATTCATCTCGCATTATCATCTGCCAAAAACTACAAATTTGAAGTTCAGTGTCAGGGAAGGAATAATTAAATCATCTCAGAAGCCCAACTAATTTCATGCTATGCACATTATCAAAAAATTAACGTAACTCAATTTGATATAATTAAAAGGCTACTTAAAGGAATTGTAGAAAAAATGCATGGCAACCCTGTTCAAGAAGTTTTCAAAGGGGGTGGTTCAGTCTCATGCTCACAACATTCAAAACAAAAATTTCGTATTTGTAGAACTTAGTCCAAACCAAACACCAACAGAAGTTAACGTAAATAAATGTGAGAATTAAACATAGTTTTCATATATATAACCTACATCTCAATTTCTACGACCACTTTCAGAATAAAATTATAGTGATTTATGAAAAATACAAAAACTTGGTCACCCCATTTTGTCATGCAAAGTTGAAGTAGATCGATGCCAAAGACCCTAAAAATGGCGGGTGGGGTTGAAGATTTTTTGGAAAAGAAACCTAAAACACAAGCTGAGATATTAATCCAACACCTTATCATCAGTTATTTAATCTTGGTTCATTCTCTTCACTTCTGACTCAAGAAGATCTTCCAAGACCTTATCATCCAAATACTCAAACTCGATAACTTCCTTGTGTTGTGAAGAACAAGAACTTCCAATGCCTGCAGTTGAAGAATTTGCTGATGCATCGGGAAAATTAAGGATTGCAAGTGCACCCCTCAATTGAAGTGCTGCACGATCATAAGCTCTGGCTGCTTCTTCTGCTGTGTCAAATGTTCCTAACCACTGTCTTCCCGTAGGTTTTCTTGGATCTCTGATCTCTGCTCCGTACTTACCCCATGGCCTCTTTCTCACACCACGGTATTTCACTTCTTCACCTCCTTTCTCTTTCTCTGCTTCACTCTTCTGTGAATCCTCCATATATATATATATATATATATGCTGTTACCTTCCCTTTTT